TGGAGAAATAAGATACTTTCATGACAAAGAGCACCTTAGGAACTTCATGAATACCAAACCAGCACTCCAAAACATTTTAAACAATATTCTAGGAAAAGACAACGAGGATCACAACCCCAGGAAGCCCAGCAGAATGAATTCATTGGGCACAACAAGAAATTAAACGCAAAGGGGAAGAATCCAACAAAAAGAAAAAATCATGACAATCATAAGTCAGTATGTATCAGTTATAACCATCAACGTTAATGGTCTCAGTTCACCAATCAAAAGAATTAGACTGGCAGAATGGGTCAAAAAGCATGATCTAACAATATGCTGCATACAAAAAACACAATTCAAAAAGAAACTTATAGACTGAAAGTTAAATACTCCATGGGACAGGAACCGGAAAAAAAGCAGGAGTAGCTATACTCTTTGCAGATCGAGTGGATTTCAAATCAAATACTGAAACACTTCTGGTCCCAAGAATTTCAGATAAGGGACAGTCATTCTGTATGTACAAATCCATTGTGAACATGTGTTTTCATTTCTCTTAAGTAAAAACTTAAGAACAGAACTATTGGTTCTTAACAGTAATACAAGAAATTTCTATAGTTTTCCAAAACGGTTTTATCATTTTTACATTCACATTAGCAGTATTAAAGTTCTAACTGATTCACACCTAAGCTGAAATTTGTTCTTTTAAAACTTTTAGCTTAATCTCCCTAATGAGTATAATACTATCTTGTTATTGTACTGATTAACATTTTTCTGATTCTAGTGTTGCACACCTTTCCTTGTGCTGTCCTATTTGTCTACTTCTAGCGTCTACTTTTTAATTGGGTTATCTATTAATGAGCTCTAAGAGTTCTTTATATATTCTGGTCATAGTTTATATGCATTACAAATATGTTCTGGTTAAGGACTACTTTTCGTTTTCTTAACAATGTCTTTTTTTTTTTTTTGGTACCGGAGATCGAACTCAGGTCCTTGCGCTTGCGCAACAGGCAGCGAAACCACTGAGCTAAATCCCTGGCCTTAACAATGTCTTTTAAAGTTCTAATTTTTTGGGGGGGGGGTACTGGGGATTGAACTCAGGTCCTTGCGCTTGCACAGCAGGCAGCAAAACCACTGAGTTAAATCCCCAGCCCTTAAAGTTCTAAATTTTGATGAAACCGTATTTATTAATTTTTTTCTTTCATACATCACATTTTTTGTATCCTAGGAAATTCTTGCCTACTCTAAATTCATGAAGATTTTCCCTTATAATTTCTTCTTAAAGTTTTATAGTTTTAGTCTTTCATATTTAGGTTCCTAGAACCTTTCAAGTTATTTTTAATGTATGGATATAAAGGGTTGAGGTTAATTTTTTACATATGGATACCAGGTGTTTAGTACCATTTACTGAAAACATTATCTTTTCCTCTGCTCGAGTTGAGTTTATGTTCTATAAAATGTTAATCTTTCAAAAATCAGTGGACCATATATGTGTGGTTCTATTTCTAGATTGTTTTATTCCACTGATCGACATGTCCTTCCTTATGCCAACATTGCCTTGATTACTGTAGCTTTAAAGGAAGTCTTAAAATTAGGTACTAAATGTCTTCCAACACTGTTTTTTCTTTTTACTTTTCCAAGTCCTTTGTACTCCTACATAACTTTTAAATTTCAATATCCAATTCTTCATTTATAGCAAGTATACATAGACCTGAA